CTATATTGTAGCTAAATACTAAGTCAATGTTATATATATCTTGTAAGCATTTATAGATAACTTTCGTTATTGGACGTGTCCAGTACCTTCTTTAGTGCACAGCCCAATCAGCGGCTTTGGTTTTCCGCTTAAAATTTAGATGTGATTCTGCAACGGGTGCCGAATCACAAACTTTTCTAATCGAAGCATTATTATCTATTCATATGAAATGACCAAGCTTGTAAAGCCATTGAATTCTTTTATGCTTAACTATGTTTATGTTGCACTATAGCTCCTGCAACTTATCGCTCCATCTTATTAAGTACTCGTAATCAATGCGCATGAGATTCATATCTTCCGAAAAGCTTTTCCCTCGTTTACTCCCAATCTCTTCTTATCTATTCTGTCCTATATAGCAGGACAGGCATGATGAGGGACTTGTACAGCTTGGATTTCATTTGTCGATAGAGGACCTTATTTTATATAGTAAGTCATCAAGTACAATGACGCCAGCAATGGCTCGCTGACATCAAGGAAGCTACAAGAGTTTTTTTTTGTTTATATTTAGATTACAGTTTTTTAATGAATATGATTTTAGTCATATTAACATTTTATGAATAGATAGGTTATAATAGAAATCTTGTGTAAAGCACATAAATATTTTGCACTATTTATGATGGTTATGCGATGAACTTATTTTTTAAGCTATAAAATTTAATTCCTCATTAGCTATGTTTATGAATTATTCAAAAAAAAATTTATTATAACATATCAAAGTATGTTATTAACATCAAATAAATCAGTATTAAATTTTTTTTTTGTGTTCTTAATATTAACATATTCATCTCTTTACATTTCAGAGTGGCTACTTTGATTGCGATGATTCTGATAGTTACTCTGAGCTGTCATTTATGGATGAATATGACGATGATGTAGTAACAAGCAACCTAACGGAACTGATGATGCACACGCATAATTATGCTGATATAACGACAACATATTGCAACAGACAAAAGGAACAAAGTCATGAATGCACAGATGCAAATTGTAATATGAACGTTAACGAAACAAACAATGGATGCGTTGATGATGTGCTAGCAAATAATTGCCACGTTCTACAACACGAGCTCGAGTTACAAGCCCATCAGCAGGATAAAATGCATATTTGTCCAGAAAGTGATGTATCGCCCGCACATTGCCATTTGGAAAAAAATAAGGCCAACTGTACAAATAGGCCGGAACGTAAATGTGACTTAATCTCTACTACATCGACTACAAGTGCAAAAGCAGCGATTGATGAACTCATACGTGAAGAGAAACAAATTGAACAGCATCAGCACCTTCATCAGCAAAGCAATGAACTGGAAAATTGTGCAAGTTTCAATGAGTTGAGTTTATTGGATGTAAAGGTTAAGCAACATGAAACTATAACAGTAATAAGTAATGCAAGCGATGATAGGAATTTGCAGTAGGTCATTGGATGAGACATAGGATGAGAATAAAATCCAAAATGAAGGTATGATGCCATTATAATTTTTTTGTTTTTGAAAAGTTTAAAATTTAAGTTTTAATTATTTACGAAATTTACTATAATTTACTATAAATTTACTATATATAGTACGATAATTCGTACGGCTATATCGGTCTTAAACATGACTAACATTATGCGCTAGTCCAGTTTATGTTGGACGGTCTTTGCAATGTCCAATATTCTACACTAGTCCAGTTTACAGTTCACGCGTTAACTATGTTATAGTCAGAAGTAACAATAAGTCGCGATAAATTACCCAATGTATCATTCTTTCACCTTAAAAAAGGTTTCTTACTTTTGAGACTTGTTTTTGATAGTATTATATTGAATGTTTTTTTTAGCTAAAGCTTCATCTTCCATTCTAACGGCATGTTCTAGTTAGTGTAGCTGTCGTGGTACAACTCAAACGGCTCATCGTACCATCGAGAATAATATTGATCATTAATTTTTGAATAAAGTACTCGTGTTGCTGTAAAGCTACGCTTTCTTTGTATGGTGACAAAGAAGCTTTATTAAAATTTAGAGGGATTTTGAATAGCAAAGAAAGAAATAAAGGACAAACACAAAAATTTATTTTAATTTTATTGAAGTTTGGCTGACCAGTTTCGAGTACAGCTTTAGAAGTGTGGCAAAAATATTAGAAATTTTACATATTTCTACCTTACGAATGTTGTTTTTTAGCATTATGTAAAGAATTTCATCTTAGTATGTCTTCTCGCCTAAAACATTATTTTATATCAAAAGATTGGTGAGGTCTTCTCAATCAGTGCAAAGCTGGTGAGTGCAATTTTGCAAAATCGTATATATTTTACAGCAATCAAAATTAGACATATTATAAATATACATGACTCGTTACAATCCAATCTAAGAAGGTTTTATATCAAGAAGATTATGGTGTCTGCCAATTTAATTTTTAGTTCTTTTTTTCTCGATTACACGTACTATCTGGTCAATGTTGGATTTACTATGTTTGAAACTACTCTTTAATATCTTATCAATTCTTTGATTGTTGGCTTCAGTCTTCCTTATAGTGTGCTTGCAAAATCGTTATAAGCTACGACGAGTGAGGGGATCCTTCAGTAAATCGTAAATATCATTAAATCAGTCTTTTAATGTACCATATAGGGGGAGTATGAATAGACAATACACAAATTCAAGCCATTAAACATACTTTCAGTAGAAATTATCTTGCACAAAAATAAAAACAAGTTCTTTATCGACTATCGGTAAAATCTATAGGCTGCTTTGGTTTTGGCGTTATTTTATAAGAATTAGCAGTTGAAATTTCAAGACACTCGGATGATAAAACATATATACTATCATCAGTTCTTAGTTCATCAAATCGGTTTCTATATCAAGTTCACTAATTTCACGATTAAGAAAATTAGGGTATCCTCTTATTTTTCGTCGCCTATAATGATTTTGCAGGCATACCATGGGAAAGACTGAGGCCAGCAATCAAAGTACTGATAAGACGTTAAAGAGTGGCTGCAAACGATGTAAATCTACTATTGATCAGATATTACGTCCAAACCAGGAAAGGAGAAATAAAAATTAAATTAACACACACCATCATTTTCTGGACTTGAAATCTTCTTCGAAAGGATGGTAAGGAGTCATTTATATCCATAATATGTCTAGAAATCGTTCCAGTGTTTCTACATCTTGCCATAAAGAATTTGAAAAAAAATTTATTACTGCAATTTAAATATAAAAATCTAATTGTATTTTACACTATTTGCTCTTACAATTTATTTTTCTCTCATATGCCAAAAACTTTAATTCTAAATTTTAGTGATTTAAATTGTGACTTACTCTGAGTGCTGTACGTATTAAAGTCAGATAATTGAAATGTTTAAGAAAATTCCTTTCCCTACTAGAAAAGAAAATGTTCAAAATTACAACTCAAGTTAAATCGTTCTATTTAAGTTA